CTTCAGAGCACGTTCTCTTTAAAATGTAAAAGTGCACTGTGGCATGAGACTGGATACACTAAACTTTGTCTTACAGGGCAGATCACTAGTTAACCCTTGGTGTCCTTGCACTAGCTCAGGTGACGGGGTCTAAGAAAGAGACTGGATTATCACGTTGAACGCATTACCTACAGTCTTAAACTGCAGAATAGTAAACTGCTGCTTACATCTTATATCAGATCCTCAGGTTCTTCTCTTTGATGGAGTGCTTTGCTCAATCAGAGGACATCATTAATGATGTCACTCAAGTAACGTCAACATCTAATGACTCTTCCCCTGTCCTTCCCAGTAGGAGTGTTTCTTATGTATTGGCAGACAATCAGTTTAGCAAGTTTATCTTCTGTCCTTTACTCTTACTTAGCACATACAGGAAGTAGCTCAACATTTCTGCTTTCCTTCCTAACACAGATATTACTGTTGTGTTCTTCTTTCTAAAAAACACTGATGTTTTCTTCTCATTTTGGAAACATTCAATCTGTCCTTCTTTTTCTTTATTGAAGGACCTTGGTGAGATTTGTGAGGATCTGAACCAGTGACAGCTGTAACATCTATAATTGCTCACACTTTCTGTTCTGATTTTAAGGAGCAGGATGAGGGAGAGGACCACAGGAAAAAGGGCCAGCACTTCTGTCAAGGGCAAGGACTGTCCTTCTCATTTAGGTATAAAAATCAGATAGGATTACAATCCCATGAACATCCTTACTCAGATCCTTCAGCAATGACTTCTAGCAGAGAAGTAGTAAAAGAGAGCAAGAATATTCTAATATAATGAATAACTGGGAAAGAAAAGTAGATTTGGGAAGATGATTTCTAGAGACAGAGATTGGAGGAAATCATTAGGTACTACATAAAAAGGAGAAAAAAAAATAACGTTACACAAAACACATCCACTAGGCTTTACTTAAACTGGCACGCTAAACAATGTATGATATTAATAACCATACAACAGAAGGGATAAGTAAAAAGTAATCATTTCCTTTCTGTATTCTTTGTCATTTACCCCTATTCGCACAGGGATCCTTCAAAAAGTTTTAATGCAACTTTTGATGCACTTTATCTTACTGCTGTCTCACCTTCCACAAAGCTGCTATCTTTTCATCTGAAAAAAAAACCTATCACAATCACAGATAATGATTACAAATACAAACACATGTTTAAATACAGGTCTACCTTTATCAGATGAAAAAAAAAAAAAAGGGAGAGGAAGGAGGGAGAGGATGTGACAGTCTGAAGACAGCAGGAACACCTGCATCTGTCATCTTTCATCGGAAGTTCTACAGTAACTCACAAACTTAAGAAAATCCACCATTAAAACTGCATGTTTTTCCTTCTAAGAAAAACAAAAAGAATACAATCTCTAAAGGAAAACAAAACTTTAAGACAGCCACACTTACAGATTACCAATGCTGACTTTTGTAAATATTAACACTAACCCTTTCTGTGCTAATTAAACCTATAAAGGAATTAACTTTCACCTATTTTACTGTTCAGTTATTTTACTGCCAAATACTAATCTGAAATCAGGAGAGATTTATCATTTTCCTGTAAGCTTTAAAGAACTGTAGATGCTGTGAAAAAGCATTAATAGGAATAAACAGGCAAAACACAGTTCTTAGGAAAAAAATCAGAACAGTTTTTATAATTCACTTTTCAGTTGAAGCCTAAAATCCATTCTTCAGTGTTTTAAACTCCCCCATATCACCATTCAAAAATAAAGCAAACATCTTAAACCAAAGAGTTACTTAGGAGAAAGCACAACAGCTTTCAGAATTTGCGTCGAATATCTGCTTAATGCTGCTTGGAAAAATAATCCAACCGCTATCCTCTAGTTTAAAATAATTCACTAGAAATGAAACTCCTCACAGTTCGCCCGCTCCTCAGGCTAGACCTGATTCATTCAGTCAGCTTACGTTGAAATTCAAGGCAAGTACAGCTCCGCCTGCATCATTCTTGCCAGATGCCTGTTAAATCCATTCTGAAGAGCCCCCTGTAACAGAGACCCTCCAACTTCCAGAGGTAACTGATTCAAGCTACCACACTGGCTGTCATTAATTGCAATCATGTTTATCAAAACGTCTTTCTGTCAATCTATATATGAGGTCCTCCTTACAGATGTCCAGCAAAGAGAATAGAAGTTCTTATGACACCAATTCCTCCAAAGTGTGTTGTCCAGCTTTGCTCAGTTTCACTACTTTTAGCAAGAGTCTAAACACTCTAGAAGTAAACTTCCATTTATAATAGCACTAACATGAGGAACCATTTCTTCAGGTTACATATAACAACCTGTTGTCTTCTGTATTTAGTACACTATTTTTTCTTATTTTCTTCTTATGAACTTCCCATTACTGTTGATCTGTGTTCATAAAAATATTCTGTATTGATATACAACCCAGAGGGGACATTCCTTCATAATTCTGCAGCAAATAGCTAAATCCGATTACAATAAACATCTTCATATAATGAAAACTTACGCTGGTTATGGGAGTTAATTATACTGAGGCTAGACTACTTTAGCTCTGGCAGCCCAGGAGATTGAGATGGCTTGCAAAAGATTGGTTGAAGTGTGTGAGACAGATATAGATAAGAGGAATGAGATCATCAGCTAGTCCAAAAATCTCAGGAACCAAGGTGACAGACAAAAAATTGACACAACCAAGTGTGACAGAGATCAGTCCTGAACTCAACTTTTCCATTTTCAGAAGGGCTCTAGTTTTAACAAGCAGGTAAAGATGAGGCAAATCTGATCCTGCTCAGCTAAAAGTGTTCAAACTTTAGTAAAAAGATTCACAGAAGACAAACAATAGCACCTTTGCTTCAAACAAAAGAAGCACCTTTGCTTCAATCAAAGTGAAAGACCCAGACAGAAGGTGCAAATGTCGAGTGCCACCTAAACTGAGGGTGAACATGAACCATATGTATGTGGAGATTACTGAATTCCTGCATTCACAGGAGGACAGGAATGTTTTCTTCTTCTATCCTTAGTATACATATGGTAGCATGAATTTCTGCACCATCTGCCTGAGACCTACATATGGGAAATGGGAGAGGCTTTGTTTCCAACTAATTGTTCTTAACTGGAAGACAGCAATCAGGTTATTTACCTAAGAATTAAGGAGTTACATGAGCTACTTTTCACCTAGCAAATTAAGGGAGCCCATCTTATGGGGACATGCATTTAGGACTCAGGAATCCATCTAAAAAGTTAAAGTCTGAAGTGATCAACACTATCCTAGAGCAACAATAAACATCCAACAAGTGATATTCAACCTGACAGAGGCAGCTGCAGCTCTGACGGCTTGTGTCTTTGTTTGCTCATTTTTATGAGTAGTAGTTCATCCACTTAGTTGCCCTGAAAGAAAACAAACTCATGGACAGTCACAGCCTTTCCTACAGTGTAAGCAGGAAAGTCAGGTCTCCTTCATTTTCAAGAAGCACAGTAATGTTATTTAACTAAAAGGCTGCAAGCATTTTTTTTTAAACAAGCCTGACTATATGGCTTTTGTTGAAATGCCAGTTATCATAAGAATCCACATGCTATTGGAAGGAATTTCAGCTACCTTCATACCCTTTTGTGACAAAGTAATAAAAAGAAGGGCTCTATTTCATAACAACGACGAATCAGTACTGCCTCTGGGACTGCTTCAAGGCCCAGCCACAAAGGAAAATCAGTTTGAAGGACCATTGTATTGAAATGGAAAGGTAAGTCCCCCAGCTGCACTATTATATTAATCCAGATCAACTTCCCAGATGTGATCAATACACTTAGAAGCTCAAAAGAACATTTGTAAACCAGAGACATCAACATTACCAATAGTCATGACCACTTCTGTGCAAATAGGCAAAAGGATTTGACAAAGTTCGTATAAAAGAAACAGCTTTATAAAGAATTTCGTCTTAGAGGGCTTGAACTGTCTTTTATTTAACGCGTGTGCTACTTTCAAGAGCATCATAGCAAATTACAAACAAAATGGTTTCCAGCTATGTTCAGATTATGGTTCTCTCATATTTAACTTCATCTACAGGACTCACACGCTCTCAAGTTGCTAGTTTCAAAGTACTCTTCCTCTACCACAAAGGAAAAAGGATACTACAGATTCAGCCAGAACAGGGGTTCTTCTCACCTTGAATCATTTATGTTAACTCTCTCTCTATATAATGTAAAGAGACAAGGCTACAAGGATGTTAAAGGGTTACACCTATTTTTTGCTATAGCATAAAACAGTGGTGAATAAACAGAACCCCCTCAGGTAAATGACAGACTGTGCTGCTGCATGTTGACTTATTGCCACAAATATCCCAATATTAGATTTTTCTTACGCTGCTTTTAGCTGAACAATTTCATCTTCTGCTGCCAAAAGAGTAGTGGCTGATTTTGCCTTTGTGTCTTCAAGAGCCAACTGGGTTTCGGTCAGACTGCAAGAAAAATGGTACAGATGCCACCAGAGAATTGAATATGACGAACTGACCCGTTTCGGCAGACCAGTTCCATGCCAATTTAACATATGAAAATAATCACAGTGGGCTTTGTGCAGGCCATCAGCACACAAATAGTTTACAAAAGTCATATCTGACTAAGCAGTAACAGAATTATTTTGCTACCACCCATTATTCTTCACAAAGGCTCAGTTCCAGTTTCTCCACAGGTTTCAACAATTTATGGCGATCAGATTGGCTTCACTGTCCATAAATGGGGTATTATCTTGGAATACGAATTCTCTTTCTCTTATACCTGCACATTTGCCTGTCAATAACTGCACAACCACATCTCTATACTGCATCATCTTGAAAGGATTACTTCTGAAACTTTCACACTTGAAATACCTCTTCCCAGCTCTCTGCTTTCCAGAGTCCTGTTTTGTAAACACGCTATCAGTCCCTCTCTGACCTGACCGCACAGAGAAATGCAACCCACACCAGAACAGTGTAAGCTCTTTACTGCTGATTTTCCACTACTTACAAGAAAAGACAATTCGGGATTAGCTCCTGTATTGCAACCTGCCACACGCTCACTCCAATCTTTAATAGCAACTAAGTTTCCTTATACTTCTCACCTTGACCATCCAACACTCAACCTTTCTCCAGCCCATCAAATAATCTCCTTCAATCCATACAGGAGCAGAGGATGAAATATCTGACTCCGAAACCAACCTTCACATGTATCTGACTCTTTACCATAGTTAGAAAACTCAACTGAAAAAAAAAGTCCTTTGCTTATTAGAGCTTCCAGGCTTAAAATTAATTTGGCAAAATTATCTCGTTTTGTTAAATTACTTGAAACATAAAGAACAAACATCTCTCCTACCAAATGCTCTCAATTATGGAGTCTTTCTCTGCCCCACCTTGTCACTTTTCACACTTAACGTATACTGAGAGATTGCAAGATTTTTTTGTCCTTTTATCTCCTTTCCAAGGGGGTGCACTGATCTTTACCTCTGAGTTGACTGGGAGACTTCTTTAATAGCCAAAAATCAGAATGGCTACATTCATCCAAGATAAGACATAACTGATACTCATATGAAAGCAGAGGATACCTACAAGATTAGTATGTAGGATGAAATATTCTTTCTATTGAAACTATTTCCTCAAATCTTGCTAATATAGCCCAAGAACTTAATATATTCCTGAAATCTCTTATTAAAAACATTGATTTATATCGCTTTTTGCACTGACTAAAAGACTGAACGTTCTTCATTGTCATGCTAATGGGTGTCTCACTTGGAGCTACCTCTGAAAAATCCTTGGAACTGGCACTAACTGTACCCATTTGTTTCTGAAGCAAGTAAGTCATTCCGAGATTGCAATGTTCCACAAAGGATGTTTTATTCAACTGTATGAAAACTGTTCAGCTCTAGTTATATATTTGAAAAGCTGTCTCTCTTTCTTCCTCCATCTTGCTACAGTAGGTTTTCATCTTCTTAGATGCTCACATACCAGTTACATACCATAACTAATTATGCTGCTGTAGGTCCTTCAATAAAGGCTGGTCCAGAGCTACTCAACTGATTTTTAATCAAGGTCTGCTCAGCATGCAGCAGTCTATCAATTGCAGTTCCAACAGAATGATCGTGCGCTGTACAAAACCCTCTTGCCTGGTATACTACCACGTTTTACAGCTCTTCTGCCAGAAGCAAAGCCTATCGAGTCAACTCGTGAACGCAGGTATGATTACATCATTTGTATCCCACTTCGGACACAGCTGGCCTTGGGTATACAGATCAGCATTTTTTAAATTTAGACAATCCAGAGCCTAGAAATATCCTGAAGCTGATTTATACCAGAAATGATTTTTTTTAAAACAAATCTCTATTAGTATTTAGATTTGAGGGAAAAACTATGGCTTGTTATTAAAAAAAAAAAAAAAGACTGTTAATTCTCCTACTCTTGTTGCACATGGCTGAGCTGTAGACGAGTAGAAGTCAGTTCTTTCTGCAGCTCCTGCAGTTCAAAAGTCTGACTACCGGCAAACTTTCTCAGCTGCCTCTCTTTCTCCATTGAATCCTACAATGAAAGATACAAATCACACTGCTTGAATGTTCTACTTTACAGAATCCTTCAACAATGTAGTATAGTATTATAGACACTGGTGTTTCTAATCATTTCAGTAAAGAACATCTCTAAAGTAGTTGGAAACAAAAGCAATTTTGTATCTTCTAGAGACACTAGCAATACCTTCTAGGCATAGAAAATAGCAAAGAGATTCAATTATATTAGGAAAAACATTCACTTCACTTACACTTCTTGACAGAGAATATATGAGGTGTGTCATACGTGTATTTACCATCTGCACACACATCATCAGGAGAAAGTGTTCCTATAGACGTGTTACATAGTTGTTTTTAGTAAAGTCTTCTGACTGACTATGCACTCAATTCAAGTAAAGCTACTGTGAATTCATGCATGCAAAATTACAAGAAAAGTTATTAGAATAGATCAAGAAACTGTTATAATTCAAGAAGGCACGCTACTACACATGCACTGTCTGTAACAACCCATGGATTTGCCTGATACTACCGTTATTAAGTGAGTAGCTATGCAGTGGGCTTTTCTTTAAATTTTGAGTGTCATGTGCAAGGACAAATCCACAACTGGTGCACGGATAGTCATTTAATAACATCATAATTTCATATTTTGTTTTTCATCAGAAGACTTAAAGAAAGCAACCTTACTCCTACAGCACACTGCAATCTGAACCCTATGGGATATCACTCTTCATTTATTCCTACCACAATCGTGAACAATTTTGACAAAAGAGGCTTACAAATGGGAAGTCAGAGAGCACGGAAACATCACTGTCAGATCATAAGATCTTCAGCGTTTTCCCCTAGTCTGCTAGGGGAAGTAACACTCTTATTTTCTTTCAAAGAACACAGGCATAGAGCCACAGTGGATCTGCCTTTCCTGCCAAACCGTTACTATTATGACCCTCCTAGTACATATCACATAGAAGAAAATAAAAGAAATACATAGTGACTCCAAACTTTAGGTCAGGAATGTGGTAGCATGATGACTGACATGAGCAGATTTTTCTTCTTCTGGACATTATTACAATGCTTAGATACTAAGTAAACCTTTTTCTTCAAAAAAAAAAAAAGAAAAGGAGCTTACAGTTAAAAACATGGAGTTTGATATACACCTTCAGCTTACACATGTATTTTCACACGCTGCTGGGTTTTTATCAATAGAGGTATGGCATAAATACTTCTATGATATCTTTGTCAATCATTTGTCAATCAAAGACAGTAAATCAGCACAATTCTTTTTCAAGATAAGGGAAGCTGTCCAAGAACACAGCTTCTCTTGCAAAGCAAATTCCTCCACACTGTCATTCATTTTTGCAAAACAGCATAAACTCTAGAAAGTCAAATGCAACTTCAACGACCTCTTTCATTTCTCTTTCAGAGGGAATGGAAACTGAAAGAGAGAAATGCCCTAGCTCTCTCCATGAGCAAACAAGGACATAAGCAAAATCAAGGAGAGAAGTTTTTAACAGGTGAGAAAGTTCTCCCGCAGGTAAAAATCGATACCATTTTATTCTCTTAAAATAAATTTTCCTACATACCTGAGTGAGAGAGAGATTAGTTGCAAAGGGTCTTCCTGAAGTAGCACTGGAAAAACAAGTCCCAAGCCATGGCAGGAGACGAGATTTTATTGTTTCCACACCTGCATAATGCCCACCTAAGAAAATACGTATAGTAAGAATTTAGGAGAACACCTAAAGCAAGGGCTAGAGTTTAAGAAGACAAGTACGAAATGTGTCAGTAATAAGACAAAGCACTGATTTACCTTCTCGAGCTGTTTCACTGAGGATTGTGAAGAGCTGCCCTTGAATCACGGAGTTCATTTCTATTATTTCACAGCATCGGTTCAGATTCTGATCACAGGAATTAATCTGTAAATTGGAAGTACTAAAACATTTGCCTGGTCTTTTTTACTTAAAGTGATTCCTGTTATGATCATGATATGAAAGGCTTTCTTCTAATTACATCTTCAAACTGCTTGTTACTGCCTCTTCTACCATAGCTAGAATACTCATCTGCAAAAGGCTTGTTGAGACCAGACTTCAGGACTTCCATCACCCACTTAAGTCACAGAGAACAAAACTGACTTCTTTCCCCATTCATAAAGAGGATGTAATCACAAATACGAGTCAAAGAAGGAACATAAAGATGTCTAACACTGAATTTTTAACACAATAAGATAGGAGATTGTTGGATGAAAAAACATATATTAGTACAAAATAGGATTTTACATATAGGGTTATTATCTTGCTTTGTCAATAGCCACATGAAGCCTCCATGCAATTTTACCTGATTTTTAAGAGTTACCAAGTGAAATAAATACTGCTGAAGAATGCTGGGCAAAACCCAGCATTATGCCTAGGAAACAACAGAAGAGCAAAGTTACATCACTTCCAGCCAATGTAACTGTGAAAAAGAATGAATGGAATTAAAATCTGCCCAGAATGCTACTGCATCTGCCAGGAAAACACAGACTTTGTACCTGCTTCTTCAATCTTTAGCCATAACCTGGATATAATTTTCAACATGGATCCCGCTCTAGGTCTTCAGGCTTCAATGGCTCCATATGGCTCTTAAAAGCTATCAAAACAGCTAAAAATTCTTATCCATGCCCAAGTGGCCTTGCATTTTGATGCTCTTCTCTGGTCTCGAGGAGCACAGTCTCACCCTGCTAACATCCACCAGAACACTATGGCAACGTGCATTTTTCCAGCTCATTACACTGACATAACACCTCATGGTGTTCCCATCTGTCAGGTCCTCCTTTTCTGTAACAGCAGATTGAAGCTTGATCATCTTCATTTCCCAGCACTTCAAAGACTATCCTCACTTGAACTGTTTCAGAGAGCTCAGCTATCATTCTTGATCAGCCCTGATGTCTACCTCTACCATCAATCTGCAAAGTCTTCAAACAAGTCCCTTTGTTCTTTCTGCTCTGTCGTCCTACAGTCTGTGGTATCTATACCAACTGCTTTCAAAATGCCCCTTAAAATTCTCCCTTGCCATGAATCTTACAGAAAGTTTGAAAATTTGACTGGCTGCACAGCAGCTCTAAACACCATGAAGTAAAAAAAAAAAGGAACTGACTTCTCTTGAAAAGGCTGCATCTCTACTCAGCACCTTTACCCATCTACTATAGCACATGGTAGACAAGTTACAGGCTCATGACCAAAACAACTATCAGCGTCCTGAAGTGATACAAACCTGAACTGCCAAGGTTGCATATCCCATATTAGGGGACACAGGAGTGAGTACCCTTTGAAGACACTTTCTGCTGAGAAACTTCAAGTGCACTTTTCAAGTATCAGTTCTCTTCACTTCCTTATCTTCCTTTAAATTTTACCCCTTCTTGCTGCTTCTCCTGTTCTATCTCCTCAGCCTGTTATCTCTTCCTCCTCACAAAGCCACTACACTGCAATCATTTTGTAGTCCTCCATGAATCCTCTTACATCCACCTTTTCCTTCTTAATACCTGAAATTCTTTGCTTATAACTACTTCCCTGCTCCTGAAGGCTTTCTATAATTATGCTCTCTTGCGGTGGTTTTTCTTGGCTATAACAGGTTTTTTTGAGAGAAGGATTGGGAAGCTAGTAGATGCTGTTCTCACATTCCTCTCAATTTTAACTTCCTTCTCCTCACATTATATTCTCTAGGCCACAAACTATTTCTTCTGAACATGCCCTCACCCTTCATCCTTTCACCTACTGTTATTTTTCCTGATGCATCCCACCATCTACCCAAAAAAAAAAAAAAACCTTTTTTCTTCCTCTCTGATTCTGACTCAGTCATTACAGCTCACCTACCACTTTTAACTTCCCATCTTCGCCTTCAGTGAACCTTGTCATAGGCAAAAAAAACAGCTTAAGCTGTGAATGCCGACAGGCAGTGGATAATTGCGCATATGTGTGTGTGCGTGAACGTCTGAAACTGAGCTTTTGAACTCCCAAGCAGAAGTCTCCTACTTGCTAGCTACAACCAGACGCTACATGCAACAGCTAGCAAGTAGGGGCTGATTGTAAATTTTGGTAATATCTGGACTAAACAAAAGTAGCATGTCCCGAGTCCTGCAATTTATGAAGAGACGTAAGATGGAACCACTAATTAGGAAGGCTAATTACATGTTGTACTTCTGCACATAGGCTATTTAGATCGGGAAAACCAGGAACTTGTGGTGCTAAACAGAAAGTTTCTGAAAGGAAGAGCTGTCTCAGAAAAAAAAAAAAAAAAAAGGAAGATCCTGGCTGGAAGAAAGGTCCTGGAAGTGGAGGAAGGTCCTGAAGACCAGCAAGATGCGTGGAGACAACTGCTGGGAAACGCCCAGGGACCTTGGCCGACAGCATCCAAGTCTGGTAACGGCAAGCAGCTGCACAGCAGTAACAGACACGACTTTCTGCCCGACCTCCCCAGATCAGAGGGTCACTCCCCAGAGCAGTGACCTCCCTGCCGGAAAGTGGAGAACTAGTGAACATAACACCAGGGAGGGAGCGAGTCAGTGGGTGTGTGAGCTCTGATCTCGCCGGTTCTTAAACAAACCCCAGTATCCAGATCCACAACTGGTTGCTGCTTACTCTGTCTCTCCCGCGACAAACCTGCACGAGACTATGCAAGTCCCAGACTCTTACGCAGGGATACCCACCTCTCCTCCACTCTAGCACTGACACCAAACTCAACCTCAATTTGCCTTTTCTCAGTCTCCTTTTTTCCTGCCGTTTTCTTCACAGGTAGTAAATGTCCTACTAAGTCATGTTAGATGTCTGTAGTCATTTCTCTAACTGATAGAAATTAATTTTTAACACCTGGAAATTATTAATCCAATGGCAGCAGAGGGAGGGAAGAAGAGTCCTTCCCCTCTTCCTCTCAGTTTTCCAGCATAATCGCCCTACACCTGCCTTCCAGATCCCTGGACAGAGCACGATTTCCTTCTTGCATCCTGTAACGTGCACGTTTTTAATCACACGACAACAGAAGGACCCCGGGGCCGCAGACAGAGACCTTCGCGCAGGGCCTCGGCAGCCCCCTGCCTGCCCCTTCCCTCTTCAGCCTGTCTTGAAAAGCACCTCGCTGAGGGGAAGTGGGGGTGTGTTCATATTCAGGTACTTTTCAACATCAAAAGCCGCGGCTTGACCAGCGTTTCTATGCACATGGAGCTAAAAAAATAAATAAATGACATAAACCAAAGCCGAAGCGGCCATGACGCCCCTGAGGGAAGTAAGCACCCCCAGGCGGCGCAGTGCC